TAAAAAGCAATACATTGCATCTTCTGCCATATTCAGAGTATATTTACCGAACAAAACTCTTCACAATGGGAAGACTCATCTGCTCCAAACGCTTTCTTGTCAGAGTCTTCTGATTCTCTGTGTTTTAGAAAACAGTAAACACGCTCTACCTCTTCGCACAGCCTGCTTTCTTTTTTTTTCCTTCTCACATCAGAGCAGCAGCAGCAACATACTGCAGGAGCACTTTGGGAAAGGGGCTGTCATTTCCTATGCCTGCAGAGCGCCCAGCCTAACGAACTAATTGGTTTCTGCATTTTACCACAGTGCACATACTAAATGATAGGTCTTAAATCCTAGTCAGACAGATATAACAGAGAAGAAAGGAATGAAGAACTAAATGTGATTTGTGTGTGCTGGTTCAGCCAGTCTCAGAAAATGAGCAATTATTTTCCCCTTATGTATGACAGGTGGGGAACTGAAGCACAGAAAAGTCAAGAGACTTCCCTTTGGTCTCAAACTCTGCCGCTAGAGCAGAGCCAGAAATAGAGCCTAGCGATCCTAACTACAGATAAGAGCCCATCTCTCAAATCAGTCATTTTGCAAAACGAAGACTGCTTCAGTTCAAGCTTCTCATCAGCTCCCTGCATGCTGCCTTTCAAAGGAATACATAGTATTTCCAGGACCATTTATTTAGTGATCAGCTGTCCTATTAAACCATTAAGATATCTTGGGTCTGTACATTTCACATAAGGAGTCAAACAAGGATAAATCAGCACCACACTAGCACATGCAGTTTACTCTGCTTTACAGGTAGGCAGTCAACCTTCTCCTCAACTAGTTCAAGGCCTGCAGAGATTTGCAAGAGAGAAATCCTATGTTTTAAACTGCTATGAACTGAACCACGAAGAGCCAAAACCTATTTTCCTGGAGCTGTCATCTCAACCCGAGAGGGGCTCAGCCCAGGTGGTATTTAGGAGCCTTCAAAAAAGGCAGAACATAAGAGGGAGTTTTATGTAAACATGTACATACATACACACAATCATACTCCTATGCTACAGGAAGTCATTCCTGCCTGTGTTTCTATTAGAAACAGCATGATTTATAAAAGCTTGAAACAAGAGTGATTTGTTAGCAGCTGCTTGTACAAAAATCATATAATTTTTTTGGTTTTTTACGCCATTTTGCGGTATAGCATTCACCTGTCAAGATTAAGGCTTTCACATACAGAGAACTGTTAATGAAGGCTACAGACTGCTGTCAAAAGCTTCATGAGAGTTGGGATACATGCCAGACTGGCATCTGTAAGAGCAGCAGCATCCCTACAGTAGTCTGCCCCAATCAGCAAGAGACAGAGGGAGCTATATACAAAGCCATCCAACTATTTCTAGGAGTGAAGTACAAAGAAAGGCATACAGTAGTACCAAATAATCCCAGAAAGCTGTAGAGCTTGGGCTCAGGAGCTCCAAGCTCTATTCGGACATGTAAGCAGATAGGGTGGCTCTTGCAGCATGGGACCTGCGCTTGCATCCCCTTGCCTTGCACTTATCTACAACCAACAGGGCCAAAACCAGGGAGTCGTTCACAAGGCTAAGTAGACAAAATGGAAAATAGTGCAGGAATAAACAAAATAAGAGATGACGACAGGACAGAGGAGGAAGAGGAAAGCATGCTACAGCCATGCATATCATTGAGATATCCAAGCAGCCCACAAGAGGAGCAGCACAAGCTGTGTCATCACAGGGTAGGGACCATAGAGAAGACAAACATCAGTCAGTTAGTCTCTCGCTCTCCCCTCTTCTCTCTAGTCTTGAGTTTTACAGGTGATATGTCACAAGGTCACTGGATCATGGTGCCACTGAGTAAATAAAAAGTGAGAAATAGCAGCCTATGTTTTTTTCTATGAAACCCTGCTTTCAACCCTGGAAGGCAACAGTAGTCTAAGATTTTTCTCCCAATTGACTAAAAGACCAGTTCTGCTTCCCTTAATCCTACCTGTTCTGTAAAAGCTAAAAATTTTGATGAGGGCAAACTCGGACAGTTTTACTTTTCCCCCTCCATTGCAGAAGGTCATGTTGTTCCTAACCTGCTAAATGACTCTTTCAGTCACACACTCTTCCTTCCAGATACAGACAGTGCAAAGACTTGCCTAAATTCTTACTCCTCAAAATTTGCATAGAGCAGCAATAACTCCCAAGGGTAATATAAAATACACACAAGCCCATTCCCAAGTCCTGCATGCTGGCTTATAACAAAACCCGCATGCCCTACCCACACAAGCCAGCCCTAAGCAGATGCTCACCTCTGTCTGCTTGAGGATGGATTATTTCGGAGATAATGAGCCCCAGCTGACTAAGCAAGGTTTTTCACTCCTGCCTCAGCAACCTGGAACTTCATAGCTCTTCCTGTCAAACTCCAGTCTCACAGACGACCATGCTAAAATTTGGAGGTCAGTCTAGGGTAATGAAACACTTTTCATATGGATGCTCTTTCAATAGAAACTGACTTAAGTGAATCTGTAACCTAAGAGGCTGAATATTCAAATAGTTTCTAACAAAACACATTTCCTTCTCATGCTAGGAGTTGCGGGGCAGCATTCTCTCACATGGGCTTGCCAGAAGGTAATGGCTTTAAAAAAAAAGTTTTAAGAGGAGCTTTTAACTTTTTCCTGTGGAGAGGATTATGCCAATGCAGATACTGTAGCTTAGTGAATATTCAGTGCTATTCAGTGCTATTAACTTTGTGATTTCCTGGATTTGCTGTGGTAGCAAAGTAGTAGATTCCAATCCATCTTCCTCCTGCAAAGCTACCACTCAGCAGACAGAAAAGCAGATTATAAATCCCAGTTCACAAAACAGGGCAAAAACTTTCCTGAAAGGAACTTTGTTCCTTCAATACAGTTCCATGTTATATTCAATATTCCTTCACATTTGGAATTCCCTTAGAACTTCAAACTAGGAGACATTTACATCAAGTGTAAAGATTCCCAAAGCACTTATTAGCATTCAAAATAATACCGTCAGGTCTTACACTATAAGCTTGGCCTCCAAAATCCTCCTGGGGCTGGTGCATTTTACTAAAAAGAACGCTCATTGTCATTCATAAAAATTACTTCCACTGAGGCTATGCCATTGTCACACAAGCAGGACAAGTACATCTGTTGGAAGGATTTGTGCAGCGCACCTTCTCAGCTCCCAAATCTAAACTTTGCTGAGCACAGAAAGAAAGGACAGTCCAAGCTGAGCAAAAACAAAGTTGTTAAAATGCTAGACTTGCACTTGGGAGATGCGGATTAAGTTTCGCACTCAGGACTTTTCATAAAAGCACGGGCAAGTCACTCCATCTCTGTATTTCAGTTTCCCATATGGAAAATGGGACTGGACAGCCTCACTGTACCTCAAGACTTGCTGTGAGAATACATGCATCGAAAACTGAGCTATGCATCATAACAGCATTAGGGCCATCCATCTACACGAATGCCAGCCATTATCTAGTGAAACACCAGCCATGCTTCTGGCCTGCAGTTCCTCCAAAGATCAGCCACACAGACTGAAGCGACAGAAATAATATGCAACAACATTACAGCTCAATGGATAAAAGGTGCTCAAATACTATGAAGACAGGCTGCATAAGAGCAGCAAGAGACACAGATGGAAGAAAGCTGGGAAAAAAAAAAAAATCAGATGAAATGCAGTGGTCAAATATTTTTTCTAAATTATGCTTTTTGTGAACAATCAGCAGCTGCTTAACAGACTCACCACTTTCAGATGTTTAACAGAACCTCTCGACAATTATAGCTTCTACTAAGAGCTCCTTACTTATGGAGGATGGAAAAAGAAGAAAATAACGCAAGAGGAAACAGTCTTCCCTACCCTCTCGCAATCAACGGTGGATAGTCGGCCAGGGGAAGTCACTGCTGCAGGAAGTGCATTTTAAGGCTAAAATTCAGAAAGATTCAAGGAAGGACTAGATACATACAGATAAAAGTAGTATCTCAAGTGATTACTGCTGAAGTATTGGAAAGTCTTAAGAAAATGGTATATTAGGGATTCCAGTACTCTCCAACAGAGATAACAGCTAATATGACAAATTGCTCCATATTTGCTACTGCAAAATTGCCACAACTTCCTCTGCCAGATGCTAATCACAGTTACAAGAACGATATACACTTAGACCTCATATGGCAAAAATGACCATTACGTACAGCAAAAATAACACTTAGCTCAGTACTGAGCTTGGTTCAGAACCTTCTTCAATAACAAACAAGAATTGCTGGACTGCAAATAGCAGCAGATCAGAAAGAAGCATCTCTTGGTGAGCCAGAAACATATTTAGCAAGAGATAAGAGGGTAGCAGCTTCCAGCAATTGCTCGTGGTCAAGGGAAAGGACTGCCAGCCCCCAAACTCAGCTACCGCAAACCAGTTAAGCACTATCCCAAAGCAGGGCAATACGCATGGTAATACCATCTTTCACCCTTCTTACACATTGAAGTCTTCAAACTCCTTTGCAATAAGGTAACTTGGAAGAAGCTTCCTGCTTCATTTCTTGACTCTGCTTCATCTCTGCCTATCTACACCTCTGATAGGGACAGTAATTTCTTTCTCAGGCTTATAACTTGCAGTTCCTACTTTTTTCTCCTACAGAACTATGCTCTTACTAAACTCTCTTCCCTGAACTAAGGGTGCATTGCGTAAACAACAGCCTGCACAAAGGGCCTTGCCTTTTATCTGGTGGGATGCATAAAAGCTTTGGTTGGTTACTGAGAAAAATGTTTAACTTCAGGCATAGTTAATTACTAATTTTGTTTGTTTCAGAGTTTTTCAGCATGCCCTAGTGTACAAATAAATACCTTCTGATGCTCCCTCAAGCGCTCACCTGGGTGGTAGCTAAGTCTCCCTGAAGCGTTTCTTGCCTTTGAACCTTCTTAGTGCTGGAAGCAATTGGAACAAGCTCTCAAAGCAGTGTCCACAACCCACATAGGAGTAGCAACCAATACGCCCTACAGTTCTCAAACTAGTAGTACCTGAGGTTTAGTTTCCTCCTCATCCTTGTAGTAGAGGAGCTGGTCCCCACGCAGAACAAACCACCGCTGCTGCCAGTGCTTCATAATGCTCCTTTGTTTCTTCAGCCAGCCACACTTCAGCATACGTTCTTGCGGATTAGGAGAGGAAGGTCTGGAGGGAGGCCCAATCTGTTCACCCATCACCAAACTCTTTGACCGTGCTAAACACAAAAAAAAATAAAATAAGAATGAGAACATACATTGAGTAAATAACTTGCTCTACACCTTCTCAGATGAAGACAGACCACTGTATGTGGTGTCTCTCTATCTCAGTATATATTTGCTTTTCAGGAGACAGATTCTAGTTCATGCTAGTCAACACAAAGCAAATATCAGCTTTTTTGTACTAACCATGCTAGCGACCTTCTAGGTTACGCAATATCTCCTATATCTGCCTAAGGCTCCGCTGCTCGTATCAGGTTTGGTTACGGCAAGTCATAACATCCCTTCATCTCAACATGGAAATAATGATACTGCTCTCTCCTTGAGGGAGATTTACCCAATGAAGATGCGTTTGTGTAGCGAGCAGAGACCGAAAGAAGGAAGGAGAAAGTAAAAGGAAATATTCCCACCTCCCACCATTACAATCAGCCAGCGGAAGTAATTGCCACAGAAAAAGATTGACACTCAGAACTAAGCAAGACTCAAAAAGGGAAGAAACTCGCATAAATAAACATAACTATCCACAATTATTACAGTTACTGAAGTAATGGAAGGAGAAAAGACAAGCACACAAAACCACCCACCCACACATACTTCCTCATTCATCAAGGCTTTCCAACCTGAAGCAGAAAAGAAACCACAATAAAAATAGAACAGACAAAATAAAGAGAAGTCAAGGTAAATCTCTGGAAAGATTTCTATTGGGTAGGATGTCTATTGCCCTTTCCTTTCCCTGCTCTTCTCCTCCCATGTTCCTGCAATAACAGTATTGAAGCTTGGGTCATTTAAAACTAGTCTAGAGTAGTAGATAATGATTATATATTGCAGGCAGCAACCCAGAACTCTCAAATGGACAGGCTGGGTAATCTAATCAGTCTTCACCATCTCTACTTCCTTTGGCTTTATGAGGAATCTTGAAATAACAGTTATTATTTACTATCTCAGATCATTGTCTTTCATTAGTACTAACACGATCCTGTTCCTTTCCATTTGCTACATTCTGTGCTTTCAGCTACTTTCAAGCACAGTTTACAATTGCCAAGGTTAACTGGGCCTCAGTTTACAGCCCAGTACAGGTAAATGTACATGAGTGATGGTTTATCCTAACAAACCACGCTGCAAACTGTAGCGGCTGAAAGGCAGGCAAGTTTCCTCTGATACACTATCTTTCTACCCACAACAGCTAACTCGGCTTGTAACAGCAGACAGCAACCCCCTGCCTCTAAGCGCTCCTTTCAGGTTCCTACAATTAACACACACGTCCTTGATGTCACCACTTCACTCTGTGGCTTCTGCCCCTAATGTATCATCACACAGCAACAGAACTGACTAATCAACATATCCCAAAGAAAGAAATAAAAAGAAAATGGAGGTAGAGAAAAAAACATCACAGTAGTAACATTAAACCTGATCCTATTTCTTCTTTTCCTTGAAATAAGCTGGCAAGATAGGAAATAGAAGGAGGGGCAGAGAAAGAACTGCAGTCAGATCTTTGGATTACGCTTAGGGGGCTCTCCATCGAGAGAAAAAACAAAAAACAAGCAACAACAACAAGCATTGTTCTCTGTCCTAAAAAAATCTACTTTAACCTCCCCCATGACCTGGCACTCTGGCCATCATGTTCAGCTTCTTAAAGGAATTAAGAAGCAACTCTTTTACACATCAAATACTTCCATCTAGCAGAGGGCAGAGCTGAAAGGTTACTACATCACCCACTACCAAAATGGGTCAGCGTTCTTCACTTTATATAGTGCCAAACACTTTCACTAACTTAAAAATCTTCTCACCTCTTTCATAAGCATCCAGCAGGCAGTTAGACTGCCCTCTGATAATTTTCCAGTTTTATAAGAGAAAAATGGCATCATCTAATTAGTGTTTTAAATTTTTAGGACTCAATAAAAGCCCTGTCCAATACACAAAAGAGAACTTCTTCCATTTCCCCAAGCTCTTAAGGTAAGCTGTGCTGCTCTCACCAGAACCGTGCGCACAACAGATTTTGTCTTGTGCCCGAACCAAGAGAAGTTAGTTTGCAGCTCAAACTATTTCCTGCTGCAAAAAGATGGGTTCGTTATTTTAATTTTGAAGAGGAAAAATAAAAAAGTTGAAAAATTGTTATAACAAGCACTGATACAGTGCTATAGCTTTTTCAGAAGTGTACTTCCCTTATTTTTAGCTAAAATTAACTTGGTATGAATTCAGTTTAAGCAAGTATTAGTCCTGCATTAGGGACCTTTTCCAGCAAACTTAATATTTGCTTAAGTAACCTAGTCCTCCTCAATTGCTATTACTTTTACATACCCAAAACAGAAAGAAGTTTCTTAGTAGAGAATTCATTTTAAAACTCAGGCTCTGGTCTACTGGTGAGTGAGCTTAGAGAATAAGCCCAAAAGTAGCTAAAAGCTCTAATTAGCCTGCTAGTCTGAGGCATTTTCGTTTCTGGAAATTATACACAGATCAGCTTTTCTGCAGCAAGCTAACATGCTCACACGGTGCTACACCCCTGTCTGGCAACACAGTGCCCTCTAGCAGGCGATTAGAGAAATATACCACCACCAACTGCTCCCCGAGCCACAGTCTGTCCCCCCAGCAAAACGCAGGGCCTTACTTCATACACATGTAGTTAGAAAACAAGAACGCACGCGCGCGCACACACAAACACACTAACTTTTCACACTTTAGCCTCTAGCACAGCAGCCCATAAGGATTTCATTGCAGGAATTACCTCCTTGCCTTGTCCCCAAGCCATGTTTTACAAGGACCAAACTGACATTTATGCTGGACTCCTTCCTGCACTACCGCCACAACATACCTTATTACAAGCAAGAACTTGCTTTCTCATATGGAAGTACAGCATTTCTTTGATGACACCGGGGCTATTAACCCCCTAGCACCAGAAGCCCTGCTTCGGGAAGGACCTCCGCTTCCCAACTGAGGCGGGCAGGCAGCTCCCGGGGCTACAGCTTTGCCGCCCCTTTGTGACAGCGGTGACAGCACAGAGGGGCCTGGTGGCCGCACAGTAACTTGCCCCCGTGGTGTCTAGCTTTCCTCACTTGCTTATAGTTACACAAACCCTCTCCTCTTCCCCCAAGCAGAAATTATACTTACATATCTGGAAACAAACTACCTTCATTTTAGGTAAAAATCTATAGCTATATTGATGCAGACCTCATGAGAGAGGTCAAATGCTTTGGACTAATAAGTAAGTTATCTCATAATTCCCCTCGTGCTCCCTTTGACGTTACTTGCACAGCGCTAATAGGAATAATTTATTACAGGGAAGAGTTCAGGTTTTTGTGATCAACCACTGGAGGCTTTTTGTTGTTTGTTTTTTAAGCAACACACGTGTTACCCAGTTGCTATGGTTGTTGATTCTTCGTGCCGTCCTAGCTTTCCATTTCCTTAGAGTTTGTGGCAGCACCTGTAATAGTTAATTTTATTATGGAGATGCTTAGAAATCTCATCTGTAAGTCAACAGCATAGATCAGATAGAAATTTTTAGAAGGAGGAATTATTTATGGCTATTAACAGCATTGATGTTTATATTGCATGCTTCACAGAATACAGTGATTGCATAGAGGTCAGAAGAAAATTTTCATGGATGAACACGGTCTGCCTTTTAAGTAGCAGGTATTTGATGCTACTGGGAACAAAATACCTGCTTTGATAGTCTGATCCAGTACATCAAGACCCTGGCTCTTAATGGTAGATAGATATTCACAGTGCTCATCCATATAACAGAGTTTGGAACCAACAGAGCATGAGGAAGAAAGCAAATCAATAAATCCGACTCACAACAACTCAGCAAATACTTCATGTGTTCTGGAGTTATAACCCAGTAACAGCTTTTCAACAGCCCCAGATAGTTTGGTTTTGCTCTTCACATTTTCATTAATTGATAATTGATTCAGCCACACACAGATACCCTAAACAGAAATCAATGTAAAAAGGATTTGAGCTTTCCCCAGGAGAGAAGAAAGGAAGAAAAAAAAAAGTCAGGATCCATTTGCACCAGATAGCTGTGCTGAAATGCCAACCACAGGATATACACAGTCAGAAGCAGAGAATCAATTATGGCACAGTGCAATTCCAACAGGCCTTGCAGAACCACATCCTCAGTGCCCACAGGTGCTGGTAAAAGTGAGTCAAGTCTGTCTTTTGCAAAGACAGATCATTAAAAGCCAAGAAAATAAAGTTTTCACAATCAGAGGCTGAAAATACTCTTATGACTAGAAGCAACACTGGCATGCAGAAGTCACACCTACAGGAAGCTGAAAGAAGGAACTACGAGCAAAGCTGGGTGTTAGCACCAGCTGTGCGAACGGCTGGGCTACACTAAACAAGCTCCCTATCTGAAAGCCCACACTTGGTTACCATATCTTTAACAGTAAGCTTAAAATGTCATTCCAAGGAGCGGATGGACCAAAGCAGATGGAGCAATACTGTCATTCCTTATAGAGACAGCAGTCTTTGTCCCTGCCCAACTCAGCCCTCTAAGACTCTTCTGTTTTCTCTGCTTCTCCTCCCACTAACGGGGCACCATTCTACAAGAGGACCTCTGCTCCCCTCCGCAGCTCAGACCTGCTTTCCAGCAATACACACATTCCCGTTTTCTCATCCCATCTATTCTGCACTACAAGGCTGCCCAGAGCCACATAGAGACTTCTTCCTCCCCTACCCATACCAGCCCCCTTTCTCGAGCACAGTCCTCCTACCTGGCAACATTACACCATCTCCTCTGCCTTCCTCCTGCTGCTCAGAGCTCCAAACACCGCTACAGGTCTGAACAATCAATGAGAACCTACTTAACCCAGGGACATGGGGATCAATCAAAGTCAATGCAATTCAACACCAATTAAAGCTGTAATCTTTTGAAATTTCATAGGCAATTAGTTTGAATCAATGTAGCCATTATAATTGATTCTGGCTGACAAACTGCCCTTCAGTGAAGGCACTTCGGTCTACCATTCCTTCAATCTAATACATAGTGAGACTGGATATT